ATAGAGCAAGGAATTTGTCAGTGTCATTCGTTTACCTGATTGTTATTCACATATAAATACAGAAATATACATAACGATGCTAGAAACCAGCATGAATCAATTATATCACATTTACTGCCTGAACATTATATACTGGTAGCACATCCAAACAATCCCTCTTCTATCAATGCACTAGCATTGATTTGTGTAGCTTCACACTTATTTCCTGAAGAAAAAAATAATGCCTAGGAAAAGGATTGCATAGAGACCAGATTCCTGTTCTTTGGGCTTCAGATTCTTCCACCAGTCAGCCTTCTCTAAAGCAGCACTAAACCCATAAACAAGGCTCAGTATGTATCTAATGACACCGTTTAAATAAATATTCTACTTTGACAAAGAAAACTATATCTACTTTATAGGAAAACAATGGGGAAAATAATAATTTTTAAAGTATTTTTTATAATAACGCACTCACTTTGGTCAGGTGGAAACAAAAAATATAAAATATGGTGATCTGTCATTTCATTGGAAAAGTACACTCTCAGCCCTTAGCATTAACTATCTAAACATTTTCAGTTAGTGAGAGGGAGAGGAGGAAAGAGAAAAAGAAGGGATTCTGACAATGAAAATGCTATTTTATCTCAGTCAAAAGGATGCTGCCTCTGTCCAGCCCACAGGGATAGTCTCTTTTTCTTTCATTTGAAGGTGTCTTTGAAGTGATTGAACTCAATGCGTGGGAGACCACGGCCCAAAACAGATTCAGAAAGTGACAATTACTTGATCTTTTTTTCCTCGAAACACTGTTTTTTTGCCAGGTAACCAAACCAGTAAGAAACAGAACTAAGGAATTAGCCATGACATTTGGGCCATGAAGAGGGTCAGTTTTGAAACTTCCAATACCAATTCGTTTTTTTAACAGTTAAATTATTTGGCCATCTATACTTTCAAATCACTGAAAGTCACCCCTTACCCTTAGATTATTATACTAGAAATTACTTTTTCAACAATTTAACTTTGTGAAATATAGATGAAATGTTTCACTAATGTTCATTTCATTTTCAACTTTGCAATAGGAAAAAAAATCTAGTTCAGTCACAAGATAAACTCTAAATGGGTCGGAGAGGAAAACCTGGAATGTCAAGAATATGTAATGTCATCTCTATGTGGCTGCCATCATCAAGTCTCTGAGTCAAGTTGTGAAATACATTGTAAAATGTGTCTTCTGTAGCTTTCACAATATCTAGTACATAAAAGTGCACCATCAATGTTAGAGGAAAAAAAAAAAGAACAGAAGAGGGAAGAAAGAAAAGAAAAGGGTAGAGAGAAATGAAAAAGGGAAGGAGGGTATAAAAGTGACAAGAAAAGATGGAAACAGGGAATGAAGAAAGATAAGGAGGGAAAGGAAGGAGAAAGGGAGGAAGAGAGGAAGGAAGAAACAAATATTTCTATTTCTTGACACTTAGTAGCTGGATCAGTGATACCTACTGCTTTTCACTCCTATAATGAGGACATCTGAGGCCTGCTAGAGAAAACACAAATATATAGATAATTTCCTCTATAAATTCATGTCTTCTAACACCACCTGAGCCCTCAGTACTACCATCCTTTTATTTGTGTGTGGTCAATGTCACCTCTCATTTCCTCCAATATCTGTTTCGTACTTTGTCTTCTTTCCAGCGCACTTTTTACTCACAACAGAAACTTAAAATTGAAACCATAAAGTGAACTTCTAATATTCTGCCCTTCTACCTGTAAGTTAATCTATATCCACATCTGTGCTTAACTAAAGGTCCAGAAGTTTAGGAGTTCCTCCTTCTAATCAAATTCAACTTTTCTCCATATTCTCTTGGCCTTACCTTGCCATATTCTGGCACTTTCCTTATTTTGTCCTCCACCTCCTTCATGTGTCTTTATTCACTTCCTTTCTATTGAACTCTCAAGTCTAAAAAACCTAATGAAGTGCTCATCCCGCAAAGCATAATCTCTTCCAAGATTTCATGCCATCTTACTGTGTCCAGTCACTTTTCTTCCTTCCTTTACAAATATCTTTTTTGAAGATGGCTCTGCTTCTTCTTTCCCAACCTATTTCTCAATTAACTTCAATCTCTCTTCTCCCTTAAAATACTACTGGGTCTTTTAATGACTTTTCAATTTCCTCCATAACTGCGACTTTGCAGTTGCACTTTCAATTGCACTTACAATTGTACTTTATTTTTTTAAATTATCATCTTAGGAGTGCTCTCTGCTATCTTGTCAGTGATAATGACATTCTCCTTTTTAAAAACCTCCACCCCATTTATTCCCATTACACTCCATATTCCTGCTTCTATTAATAATTTGGTGTCTGCAACAGCTCTCCCTCCTTTGTGAGATCCACATCCTATGTCTGCTACCCCAATGTCTGTGTCCCTACTAGGATTCCATCATCAGTCTGATGCTCCACATGGGTGATCTCATCTTCTACTTATCCGCTAATAATTTTCCAAATGTATGTCACCAGTCTAGACCTTTCTCCCTCTATTCTCTTTGGAAATTCCATCAATATAAATCTCCAGAATCCTCAGATTCAACATATCTGAAACCATTCACCACCTTTATTGAGTCAGGGTCCCCACAGGAAATTGCTGATACATTTGAAATATTAGAATTTAAGGAGAGTAATTATAAAGACATTGTTTACAAATATGTTCACATAGGAGGACCGAAAAAAAGATAGTCTAGTAACACAAAGCTCGCTATCTCAGGTCAAAAGAACTGAGAAGAGGAAAGGTTAATGGAATCATGATCTGAAAGGAGAAAACCTGTACAATGATGAGAGCACTGATGTCTATTCACGTCCACACAGGTCAGCTGTGTGGGAGAGAAAGACGGGTAGGGAGTAGATTTGGAGGACCAAACAGAAAATATGCAGCACAATACCTCCCTTTTTTCCTTAACGTCCACTCTTATCCTTTGTTGGGTGAAAAACACTAACACAGAAAATTCAAGTCGTGCCACTAGTTAACGTATTACTGCAGGTAACACTGCAGAGTGTTATCAAGTTGGTCATAAGTCTACGTGAATCCTAGGACATTAGATACAACTTATATTCTTCCTATAAGGTAATGAGGAAAGAAAGGATAAAATAAAGAATTAAATAATCAAACACAGAGTTGTTATGGCCCACAATCCTATCATTTTCATGACAGCGAACTTTGTAATATGAACGCTTCTTTGAACACTTGGCTGCGATTCCGCTTACCTTTTGCCAGCACTTTGGCTGCACAAGAGTCTTTACTCAGTAGGGTGACCCAAATCTTTATCTCTGCGGGATCTGTCTTTGGAGATGTTATTTTTGTTGTTATTCTTACCACTATTTTACGGCAGCTACAACTTTGGGGCAAGAGAGTACTGAGAGACCCTCCAGTGAATCCCCTGGATTCTAAAGTCTTCTTTCATCCATTCTTTAGCAACAAACCAGCTGCCTCTAGTTGTTAGGATTAATCACCCTGCAAGTTGGATTATTGCCATGAAGAGCCCCAAATATCCAGGGGGAAGCTCATCTTCTAATGTGTTGGAACCGTGACTATTTTTTCTAGTGGAAGAAGTCCCACCTTGAAGACTAGGATGACCAAATCCACAAATCAAGGTCATGGAAAAGAAGGAAAAACTCTAGAAAATTACAAGGTATGATGGTGAGATATGGCTACTTCCATCTCTTTACCTTGTTTGACATACCTGTATACACTCTCTGAGGGTGAGACAGCACCATGTATTAGTTAGTTGTTTAAGACGTACACCACATGCTACACAACAGTTTCCCAACCTCTCAGAATGCCTGCATCTCAGCTTTCTCCAGAACTGAATCTTAGCAGTTTATTCTATTATCCTACCATGCCAACTGTTTCCTATGTGACAGGGAACGTGGCACAACAAATGAAATCTTTGGTAATGAGCGCATTGCCACATTTCCTCTGCAATTATATATGACCTCTACTTAGAGACAGTGTAGTATGAGCTACTGTGGCATGGATAAGGCATTCTGAAAGTGTAGGAATGGTGATGCTGACAGAAGCATCCATGTTAAGAAAATGTGTTTATTCCTGGGAAGACAAAACACCATACATACCCTACGTGGTGGGACGTATTCAGTATGATCGACCTTCCAGAAGGTAGCTGACTGGTTCTGCCAGAAGATATTGGCCTCTACTTTTGGCAGTTCGGCCACTCAACGGTGGTAGTTTTGATCCGATGATATTGCTGAACCACATGTAGCCTACATTTCTGATCAATCCACCCCTATGATCATTGAGTAAAGACAAAGAGCAGCTAAGGCATGTTCTCCTGGAGGCCACCAGGAGGAATGAGCCCCATTACTGACAGCAATAACCTGCTCATTAACACAACCTGTACTGAGTTTCTTCCCTTATTTGTTTTACTTACTCCTTCCCTTATCAGTGTTTCCTAGAATGACATCTCAAGTACTACTTTTACTCACACCATTTTAGTCTCAGAGTCAGTTTCTAGAGCTATAAGTGATGTTAAGCCACAGTGTCTTAAAATGGAATTGGATTTCTTACAGCCAATTGGCAACACGGATCCCACTGCTGCGCTCTATGCCTTGTAGCTTACGATGTGGTAGATCCACTGGTGCTGGAGGTATCCATGCTAAGAGGCTTGGTGGAGTCCCGGTAAGATACTCATAGCTCAGCATTCTAGACCATGCCTTTTGCAGCAGAGAACTACTAATTGTTTGAAAAGCAGTTTCTGACATGTTACTGGGTCCTAGGGAAAATGAGGGTCTGACTACAGGACATTAAATGTAACAAGAGCTTCCTCTTATGAGCTGAGTATTGTCAGACCCATAAAGTCATAAGACTGGATGGAAATAGCAGCAATCCATGGTATAATGGAAAAGGTAGATACATGACTGCATACAATCAGGCCCAGTGAGCACTGTAAGTGACACAAACATGTGGACCAGGCCCCCATGTAACCTAATTTTGTTGCACTTATGCCTTTCCCTCATCTCATACCTTGGGCCTGATGGTGGGGTATAGGTTACTGAGGAATCCCAGAGATCAGCTGATGGAAGAGGAGGAAATTCAGGACTGCTTTCTTGATTGGAGGACTTAGTATGGTGGTGCCAGATGAAATTAACTGCAGCCATGCTCCAGTTCCTCTCAGTAATGGCCCTGAAAAACAAGGATAAGGGGAAATTCTTTCATCAATGGCCAAGTTTTCAGCAGCACACTTGGTCATCTTGGAGGACTAGGCTGTGGCACATGGTTTTTTTTGGTTTGTCAGGGGATAGGAAGAAACATATTTGGAAGATTGGAGACAAGGAAGTCTATGGAAGAGGCATGTATATGTATGTATGTGAGTGGAAACAAAGTGTGTGCTACTTTGAATCACATACTAAAATTCACCAGAGAGCACCTACCCTGGAGTTAGAATACAGAGTATGATTTACCTTGTGGATGTCAGCCAGCCTCTGTCCTAATCCACCCCAGTGCTCTCACAAAGGGCCCATGAATGCGATAGACACCTTGGCAGCTATGGAAGCTAAGCATGGGCCCAACAGGAAAGCTGCTTCTCAGCAAAGCTTATCAAGTTACTGTCTGAGTTGAAAGTCCAACCTGTCAACCGTCAACAATCAGAACTGATACTAAAACTCAGTACGGTTCTATCACACGTGGAGACTAACCGGATATTGGTTAGGGTTGGATTACTGTGAATACCTTCTGCTCTGAAGGGGGCAACAATTTTTCCTGACTGAGACTTTGTGTGCTCCAAAGGTGGATTTGCCTTTCTTTCTGCACTGACTTAAATAACATCACTATTCAAAGCCTTATGGAAGGTCTGATCTACCAAACAGGGTCCCATAGCATATTGATTTGGATGAGAGGAACCACTTTATCACAGAAGAGGTGTGACAGCGTGCACCTAATTCTGGAATCCACCAGTCCTACTATGTACTGCTTCATATGGAAGCTTCCAGACTAATAAAACATTGGAATAGCCTCTCAAAGGTGCATTGAAGTCATTAGTTTGGGGATGACACCTTGTATATTTGGGAAGTTTTTCTTAACATGAAGTCTGTAGTTTGAAGCAACTATTCCATTGCTGCTGACAGCTGCAGTACACAGGCCTGGAAACCAAGCAGTGGAAGTGATCTCCATCAACATCATTCTTGAGGACTCACTTGGAAAAACTGTATTTTCTAGGTGAAGGAATGCTTCTACCTGTGGACACAGGAAGGACTCACAAAATCAAAAGCTACAGATGCCCCCCCAATTTTATATGCCTACAGATCATCGAAGAGAAAAGGGAGCTACTACATTGTTAGGGGTAAATATCCCTGATTATCATAAGAAGATTAGGTTGCTTCTAAATAATGGGAGTAGGGGGTAAAATGTCATAACTAAGTGGACTCCTTAACACGTCCATGCCTGGTAATAAGCAAGAATAGGCAACCGCAGCCCCCGCAGCCTGTCAAGGGCACAGTAAGCATGGCTTAAATCCCTTAGTGGTGAAGATCTTGATTACCCTGTGGGCAAAACAACCCAGACCCACAGAATTGCTGCCTGAGGGTAGGGAGGCTAGAAGGAGTAATAGAGGAGAGACAAAACAAACGTCAGCTTTGGTCCTGGACCATATTAGCAGGGACTAGACTAAGGTGGTTTATCTCACTGTACTCTCTGTTTTGAGATTTAAGAAAAAAAGAAATCGTGACCTCCTCGAAAAATCAATGAAAGAACAGAGAGAACTTAACATGGGCATGAGTGGATGGAGCTCTAAGGGGTAGACTGTTGCAGGCTTTGCCAATGCCATCCTCCCTCAACGTTTCCACGCACACCAGTGGTCTCCCACTGCATGCAGATGCCACTTTCTGTCCTTCCTCTGGCTTGAGACACATGTGTGGTTAGCACACTAGAGGAAGTCTAGAAGTGCCAGGCAGTTATGTCTTTGAAATCCACACCCAATAAATCATGAATGCATGTTGATTGATAGTCATTCCAGCTTCCTTGCCACTGGGCTGGGACTATTCTGAGGGATATTTTTCACTGTTTCTCAGAGACCTCCAGTAGCATTAAGCACTAGTTGCCTATAGAATAATCTGCCCTTTAATGTACAGCCTTCTGTATCTACCTCTGTATTAGTTTCCTACTGCTGCTGTAACAAATTATAACCATAGTGGCCTAAGACAACGCAAATTTATTATCTCACAGCTCTGGAGGCAAGAAGTCCAAAATGGGTTTCACTGGCCCGAAACTACAGTTTGCAGGGTCACACACTCTCTGGAAGCTCTGAGGATGACCTATTTCTTGCCTTTTTCAGCTCCTAGTGGCTACTTCTTCTATTATCAAAGCGCATCACTCCAATCTCTGCTTCTGTGGTCACATGGCCTTCTCTTCTGTAGTCAAGTCTCCCTCTGTCTCCCTCTTACAAGGACACTTGTAATACCATTTAGGGCCCACCTGGACATTCCAGGATAATCTGTCCACATCAAGATCCTTACCTTAATCACATCTGTAAAGACCTTTTGGCCATATAAGGTAACGTTCACACGTTCCAGGAATTAGACTTGAATATCATGGGGGCCCTTATTCAGTCTACCACAGTTCCTGTCCTTGTTTGAGTCACCTCATTCACTTCCCTACCACGCTTCTTGGAATCAGTTCTCAAACAAACTACTTGCACTTCAATGCTAATCCCAGAGCCTGCATCTGATATTAGGATAGCTATCATTATATACTGGTGATAGCTCTTACACAGCTTCTCTCCTTAGATTCTAGCAATAAAATATCTGCCAGTGTTCTTGTCCCCTTGTGTAAAATTTTCTGATAGTATCTCTTCAACTCCACATAACAGTGTTGACATTTTAAGTACCAAATATGAATTCCCAAATCCTTAACAAAGACTACAATGGTATACAGAGCTTGGCCCATGCCTTTCTCTTCAGCAACATTCTCTCCCGAACATTTGGGACTGATCTCAGTTCTACAAATGCACCACGCCTTTTCTTCCTGCTTGAGATATTTTGTTCCTTCACCCCAAACTTAAACCGTCCCATTCATTGCTTAGTTAAGCCCTACTGATCCTTCAGATCTTATTGTAAATAGGTCCCAGAATGGTCTGCCCTAACACTCCATCATAATTAAGTCTCCCAATTTTAATAGCTCCTAACATCTTATATTTGCCCTTTTTAATCTCTTCTCACCATTTGCAATTATTTATGTATCTGATTAGCTCTTAGCATCTGCTACCATGAAAGCCTCTAAACTCACAAGTCAAGGATCATATCTGATAAGTTCTTTAACATAGAGCCTTTTGCCGTGTCTGGCAGATGAAAAGTTATCAATGCATATTTGGCGAATGGATGAATAAAGAAGGAAATGAATGAGTGGAACTTTAAATGCCACCTTAGTCTTGCGATGCATTGTCTAGGATGCATATCTCATAGAAAGGGAGTAAGCATGCTTTTTATTTTATTTTATCTGTTTTTGTCAGGACTGTGGTACAGAATATCTTTTTAAATGCAATGCATAAAATATTTAAATTCCACAAATAAGCTTTTCTCCTCAGTTTTATTCTGCAGGCTATAAATATTTAGTGCTTTATTCAGTTTCATATTTTCTAGCATAAGCTAGTTTCTCTTCTCTGCAAACAGATAAGCCATGTTAGGATCTATGTAAATAGGTAGCATTAGCATTTGTGGTTTCTAATCGTAGCCAAGCACTGGCATTCATTAAAGCCATTTGTCTTCCTTTTGCTTTCCCTACATTTTTGTTCTTTCTTTTGTTTTCATTTCTCTATGCTAATTTTTCTTTGGACTGCTTTTCTTTTGTAGGCAGATGCAAGAAACACAAGAACTATCATTATCAATTTTAACATTGAACAATGCGAATCAAGAAATTATTAATTCCTTTTTTTATGATATTTTTCTCTTTTCCTTTCTCCTTTAATTTACAATAAATCTGGTATCTCTGTGCTGTCATAGTTTCCTCTTTCTCCCCACTCTCTCCCCGCAATGTTGAATTAATCTCTTTTCCATGCCATTCCAAGGACTCAGTCATTGCCAAAGATTTTTCAGCTAAATCAGAAACAATTTATTTAGGCCTGACTCATTCAGTCGTTTATTCATGCAACAATATTCACTGAATGCCAGCTAGAAGCCAAACACTCTTTTAGGGATTCAGCAGAGGACAGAATGAAGCCCTTGTCTTCAGGAAGTTTAGATGTTCTAGCATAAGCTAAGGAAAAGATAGGATGAATAACCATACAAGCATAATAGTATATATGGACTCTGGAGAAAAATAAAATAGGGTAAGTGGAATAGGGATTGCCATGGGGCAATTGTATGGGGGTGATTCCTATTTTGGACAGAGTGGCAAGTGAAGACTTCAGTGAAAAGATGACTATATTAGTTAGTGTTACCAAACACACAGAGCCACAGAGCCACTGATTATGTGTGTGTGTATGTGTATTTTGTTTGTTTGTTTTTTAGTAAAACAGAGTTTTCTCCATAATGTGGTTAGGCCTCACCCAATCTATTGAAGGCCGTAGGAGAAAAAACTGAGGTCCCCTGAGAAGGAAGGAATTCTGCTTTCAGACTGCCTTGAGATTCAAGACTGCAACATCAGCTCCTACAGGAATTACCAGCCTGCTGGCCTGCCTTGCATATTTTAGACTTACCAGCATCAAAATTCACATGGGAGATTTATTTTAAGGAAATAGATTTTGGATTTTAGACTTTGTGTTTTACCCTAGGTTATGATCAGAGGGGTAATATGATTTGTCTTATTTTTAAGGATCATTCTTAATGTTAGGTTAAATAAATAGACTATAGAGGTACAAGTGTGGAGGAGAGAGACAAATCCAGAAGAGAGATGATTGTGGTCTTGATGGAGGTGGTGAGAAATATGAGACTGTGAATGTATGTACAGGTCTCAGTATGCTATTCTATTTAGTTCCTGTATTCAAATCATAGCCATTGGGGCTTCCCTGGTGGCGCAGTGGTTGAGAGCCCGCCTGCCGATGCAGGGGACACGGGTTCGTGCCCCGATCCGGGAAGATCCCACATGCCGCAGAGCGGCTGGGCCCGTGAGCCGTGGCCACTGAGCCTGCGCGTCCGGAGCCTTGCTCCGCAATGGGAGAGGCCACAGCAGTGAGAGGCCCGCATACCGCAAAA